ATGTAGCTCCAAAGTTTAAGTCAGTTTCGTTTGCTCAAGTCCATTTATTTATGATGGAAGTTTTCACAAAAATACAAGGTCCTCAAATAGTTTCCTGACTTACTTACATACAACACATACCAAAAGGATGCATCGAAGGGCCTTATAGTATTTCTGATCAACTCTTGACTCTAATACTTTTTTCTGATCAGGACTTCCAATAAACAGAAAGAACCTCTCTGTTCAGCCGTGTTTCCGAATCCCCGCACCACTCCCGGATAACTCACAAAATACAATCGATGATAGTTTTAGCTCCTCCCACGGAAATGATGTTTAAAGTCATACGAAATGACTCACTTGTTTATTTCAAGATGAGCTTATTTCCATTCCCTAAGTGGCTGCCCGTGAAGATCCCGGGGTAGAATAGGTCTTCAGCAACCCATGCTTGCCGTAAAAGGCGACTAACGGGATCGGGTGGTCAGGCTCGCTGACTTGGTTGATGCATGTCATCAATCCCAATTGCGTGGGTCGATGCTCATGATATTAACCACTGGATTGTCTGGTCCAGATTCGATTATTTACAGACCGCCGTCATATAGCTGGAATATTGCTGAGTGCGGCGTTGAACAACAAAATAACCAACCAACCAACCATAAGTGGCAGATTCAGTTTGTGCTATCAAACAATTCCTTGTCTAAAACAACTCAAATAACTATCCAAATTCATGTCAATCGAACATAGTTCATGAACCTAAGATGAACGCCAGATATTATATAAAATGGGTATTTACCAATTTACCAAGAGATCCTTAATCAGATCCCAATCAAGCAATACTTCATACAGTCAAGCAGTCGTTCATACAATATTTGGTCACTTCAAGACTGATCATCTATTCCATCTTTTCGTTTGCCCTCTTCTACTTATATCCCAAAACCAGATCCCGCTAAGTCCTGCAAACTCATGAGAAGCTGTCACTAAGAGAAATAGAACCAGTCACCTTTTGACCTCGTAGGTCGAGGCCTCCCCCTAGTACATTCACCCTTCCCATTTCATATTTGTACCTATAAGTTTATATAATTTCATAAACGACATATTAAGTTAAAAAAAACCATTAAAACATTTTACTAAAATACCTTGGTTATAGTGCACTGCGAATTTTGACACGTATGTTTTGTTCACCCGTTAAGTCTCTCAACTTAAACGTATACTACAGGATGTCGAATTCACAGGAGTCTTCCGGTCTTCACATTCCCTCTCAACCATCAACAGTGGGCTGGATGTTACCAACGGTACCCGGGACGGCGGACATTCATTTGCCGGACACTATTGGAAATTTCATACGTGCCTCAGGCGTCCCTGGCCTCCTCGATCCTGTCTCATCACCCAGCTTCACAACGAGCCTTACCGAGCTCACATCTTCAGGGCTTACTGCCACGCCTGCGATATCATTGACGCTGGGTCACCTTACCGTTGTGCCGCCTGTCCTCCAATGTAAGGCGCAGCCTTCGGCGACGTTAGTTGGGGGGTTGGTTGTTTGTTGTTTAACGCCGCACTCAGCAATTTTCCAGCTATATGACGGCGGTCTCTAAATAATCGAGGCTGGACCAGACAATACAGGGATTGATATAATGAGCATCGATCCACGCATTTGGGATCGATGATATGCATCGATCCAGTCAGCGAGCCTGACCACTCGATCCCGCTGGTCGCCTTTCACGACGAGCATAGTCACCTTTTACGGGAAGCATGGGTTGCTGAAGACCTATTCTACCCCGGAATTTTCGGGGGTCTTAGATACAACCTGGATGCAGAACTTCCCAAGTTCCCAAGAACGCCTGAGACAGCCCAAGCGCTTGTGTTTACGCTCACGTCAGCACCTGCTGCACACTATGTGGCAGTAGTCCATGACGCAGATGTATCCAGGGCTTGCGCTGATGTACCAGCCACCTCAACCAAGAGCACCAGAAACTTGTACGATTACGTCAGAGTCTGCCGTACCAGATAACCCGCGAAGATTCCGGGGTAGAATAGGTCTTCAGCAACCCATGCTTGCTGTAAAAGGTGACTATGCATGGTATCCTGCTGACAAACCTAGAAACATAATCGTGGCGAACCGGTATTCGAACCCACAATCATAGATTTCTGGCGTGCCCACGGGACGCAACTCTGGACAGCGAATCGCGGCGCCTTAGACGACCGGGCAACCCGTGGCCCCACCCTTCCCGCATGGAGTAAAGAGCCCTTAGATGAAACTATTCAGGTCATATTAAAAAGTATAACAACAAAAACGAAACAATTACGAATGCGTATTTTATTTATTTCCTTGCCAAAGGTGCAGCAACACACGATGATGTTGTCAATATACTGTAAACTTCTTTTTATTGCATTTGCCCGTAGCACATAGTGGCCGAGTCGTCTTAGGCGCCGCGATTCGCTGTGCAGAGTTGCGTTCCTTGGGCACGCCAGAAACCTATGATTGTGGGTTCGAATCCCGGTTCGCCCCAATTATGTTTCTAGGTTTGTCAGCACCATACCCGTGCTCGTGGGTTTCACCGAAGTGGTAAACGTCTTAGACCTGCATCACTTCGGGCTTTCCTCCCACATTGAGCCGACACGCCGTGATATAACTGGAATACCGTTAAAAGCGGCGTTAAACCAAACTCACTCACTCACTACTACCTCTTGAAGTAATTAATGCTGCAATGTATGGCAAAAGTGAAAAGTCACAAAACTCAAAATATATGTTTGAATTGCGTCTTTGACTAAAATCCAAATACATGTCCAGATATAAAAAACAGAACATGATAGATAAGAATATGGTTGTAATTACGGTAAATATGTTTGCATTCTTTCAATTTTACTGATTCCATACACAAGGCTATTCCATAATATTGTGATGTGTTACATAACTATATCTCTTTGCATTATGTCTGGTAAATATAGTTTGATAGCCTAAGATTATTGAAGTTCTTAAAGGACTTTATACAGTAAACTACGTATATAACGAACTGACGGATAGAACGAATTTATTTTTTGGTCCCGGCCATTTGCTGAAAAGTGCTGTGCATATGCTAAAACTACGGTTACAATAAACTAATATTAGTGATCCATTTGGATTCGTTATAACCGCAGTTTACTGTATTAAGTGTTGTAGAGCATATACCGAAAACGAAAATGTTTTATTGATTGATTTGTTATTGGCCTTGATATCGTAGGATAACATACCTTTCCGAATTGTGTAAAACCCTGATTTTCGGAATACTTAATAATCCCACATTACAAAGAGGAAAGTAAAAATATATACTGAGAACAGACATTGTGGTTCTAAGTTCAGATCTTAATAGTATGTTTATTTTGTTTTTTCTTGTTTAACCCCCTGGATGCCATTTGGACAAATATGTCCCTACACAAAACGCAGCTGCTGTGCCAGAGGGATATATATGTCCTTCTGAAACATCATGTTGAAAGAATTGAAATAAAATATTTTTGGATTACCCCAAGCCCATATCAATTGCAACATCGCAAAAAGCAGTAAATTTCCAACACATCTGTGTCATTTTCACAACTCTACTGTCAATAAATAACGCATATGGAGTTAGTCAAATTCCCCTTGTTTACACTTTCGTTCAAATGTGCCGCCATTGAAATATTTTTTCATTTCGAACAAATTGCACCGACTGATTGAAAATCCACATGCGAAGGAATGTTTGAAACCTTCATAAATATTTTGGTTAAAAGATTGAAAATGGTCAAATATCTACGCATCTATGTATTAATTAGCTAATGAAACCAACTAAATGCCTAGTTTATCGATGGTGAATGGAGTGTATATTATTTTTTTTACAGTATTTGTTCAAGGCCTCGTTCATCACATTCATATCAAAGCGTATTCAAAAACATTCATACAGTTATACATACCTACTGACATCTGTAAAAAACAGTCTGTGTGAAAATGTGCCACTTCTCATATTCATACGTATACTTAGAAATTCCATTCATGCTTCCTAAACCTCAAATTCTGCAAAAACACAGAAAAGGTACCGCAACTTTTTAGCCGAAACTTAAAACAAAATGGCGACCGAAGTTGAAGGTCGCTTAGCGGTACTTTTCATGAGAGAAAAAAAGTCGAAAGCATGTCTCCCAGAAGAAACGAAAACGCACATGGTAAACTTTGACACACCCTCTTGGGTCTGTGTTGTTCATGTTTTGTGACTAATTATATGTAAGTCACGTTTTCGTATGTTTAATGAGGCGACCCAATTTATTACAAGACGTTGAAAAGTAGGTCGGTAGCAACGGCATATAGGATCTTATGCAGTGTCGAATATATTTATAATTTATTGGTTATATAAGTATATAAACAAGAACTATATGATGTTGAATTATGAACGTGTAAATGTCAGTTAAAATTACTTGAATACCGGTCCCCGATGAATCTATATATTTATTATTAGTCCGTATGTCTACATATAAATAGCTAGCTCTTTGACAGTAGAATTCATTACTAAATTATTAATAATCTTTCGTTTAATTTCAGTATGTAAATTTTGTATTCATGCGGTTTGTTATTGTTAAATACCTTATTATTATTGCAAGACTAAGTTTTTTTATTTCACGAATACAAATGAAGCTGTTACGGTCATCGACAGTTGGTTTCAATCATCCACAATAACGGGGTTGACAAGAGCGGCAAATTTCCGATTGTTCGTCTGGAACGAAATACCGTGACCCGCGACCTTTGACATGCCACGTCACAGAGGTTACAGGTGCCCGAGTAAAACAAAATAAAGTTCGATGTTGAAATCATCAACAGTGTTAAATATGACATCCAATGTAAATATTTATACATTATATGCTTTAATCTTTATCTTCGTGCTTTGTTTATCGAATCAGCGCGATGAACACAAATCAAATATAAAAAAACGTTCGCCTCTCGCCGAGAGCATGAATATTCATAGGGATAAAAATAGCCCCATGTGACAGACGACAACATTGCGATCGAAGCTGTCAACCAAGACGGAATGTCTGCGGTTGGTGTTGGAGACGACGATGATTTGGGGGAGTCGGACTTCGAGTCGGACATATCAGTCGATTCTCTCGATTCCGACTCCGAGTCCGACTCCCAGGAAGAGATAAGCGGTAAGTAACATTAATTCATTTTCAGTAAATTGAGTAGGTGTACTGTCAGTGTCAAAGCAATGGCGGGAATAAGAATTTGTTATTTTTTTAGCAATTTTCGAAATGGTAGGCTAGATCTACTCGTGATGGTTGTGATGTTTAAAATGTTAAAAATATCTACCATACCATGATAGTCATAGTAGAAACAGCAAACTACCTTGTTTAGTATTTCATGAAATTGATTTGAAAGAAAGTCTCTCATGGTAGTGAAGTTTTAACATGTCTACATGTGGCCTACCTATGCTTTTGGTAAAGCTCAGTAATATTAATGGAAAAATGTCTTTGTTAAAAATTAAATTTATCTTGAAGGACACACTAGTTCACACTTTGGACATGAAGCCATATTTTTAAATGAGTATAGTGAGTCATTCCTAAAAAATCTAAAATGTCTAACTTATTTTGAAATTTTAAAAATAAATGAATATGTTTCATAATTTTAAATGTTAAATGTTATAAATATATCTAAATGATGTAGATAAACATTTACTATAACTTACTAAGGGAAAGGGGAGTGGCATTGCACCAAGTGACTGTTGTCCTTGCGCCAATGGGTTGGGGGGTCAGCGCACTGAACAAATGTTCCCTCACCGGGCAGGTAGCCCGGAGACGCGGAAGCTATGGCCATTTTTTTTTTAAAATTTAGCATCATTGTAAAGCTTTTGATTTTAGTTCTCACCCTGGAAATGTTTGCATCATGATTACACAATTGTTTCCCTGTGACTACTCAAGGAAGCCCTTCAGTTTTCATTAATACATTCATGTGGAGCACATATATCCTAATCTTATCTTTATGTTGTAGTAATGAAGAATAAGTTTTTCAACATGTTTAATCTGTACCCAACTAAAAAGGTCACAGGTTATACATATAAATTACAAGCAAAATATTAGCCTTGACGAAAATAAAGTTGCCACATGAATATTGATACTGGTAAAATATTCACTAGATCTACAGGGTCTGAAACATTTCCTTCAATAAACTAAATATGTCTATAGGTCTATATATATATATATATGTGATATATTTATATCTTTATTTAAATTTAAGATTGATAACAAACATAAATACATTGGAGAAATGACAAACTTCCATGAAGCAATTTGCAAAAAGTATGTATCCAAGGGAGATATTATAGGACATAAACAAATCACATTATCTCCCCTTGATCATCAAGAAAACATTAGTCAGCAGTTGCTTAGTTCCAATTTATGATAAGAAACATCCATGAAAATTTGCAAATTCAGCGATAGAAACTAACATTTTAGTCCACTAGTCCATATATTATAATGATGAGTATAACAAAACCCTATAAAATTGGCAAATGTCTACTAGTCCTTATGATACCTTAACTATTAGACTGTTTTGCAATTATATAATCAGGACAGTGACATGGAAATTAATACCAGCTCACTTATCTGTAGACAAATTTCCAAATCTTCCCATTGTTTTAACAGTACAATGGAATTTTACCCTGTCTTGTAAAGTATTTTAGTTCCAACCCTTCATTTTGATTTCTGTGTTAAGCATCACATAAAAAAATACTAAGGAGGCAAACAAATAAACAAAGCTAACCATGTCCTCACTATTGTGATTGCATTAATTTATCTGCAATCTCTGAATTCTTATGCTTTAAATTTCAACCATGTCATAATTCAAAATTATTTGGAAAGCTTTTAAATTTCTGGATATTTGAATTTTGATAATACAGTTATACTCTGTCTAGGATATGGTCTGTGAAGTGGAATGATTCATACATGCTTTTTCCATGCTCCTATGTTACTTGAATGCATGGACACACTACACATATCTATCTTTTAACAAGGAATCCTTTCCCTTAGCACTTTTATATGTGATTGAAAGGACATTATGAATAAGAAGCATTATTTCAAATATCAGATCACGAGGAAAACACAGAAGAGAGTGAAGAAGAGGCAGGGGCCAAACCGAGGAGTGCGGCCCTGTCAACCCTCCAGGTAACAAGAATTGATAAATACAAAAATCATTATAAGTCCATGAATTCATAATCATCCAAAACTAAGTAAGGAATTGTTTCATATTTGGTGTCTCGTTTAGGTATAAATGTGGATATAAGTTGTATGATATTAAGATTATCATTACATGTACATGTATCAAATACAATGATATATATGTCAGCATGATTTATAATAATTCATGTGGTCATACATTATGATATATGTTTCAGATTACCATGCCCCTCCTATATGCTATTTCAACCAGCAACTCAGAGGAGGGGATGGAGGTGTTGATTTGTTCGACCTGCTGGTCAGGGAGACAAACAGGTATGCTGAGCAGTACCTGCAGGGCCGCACTCTATCACCGCAGAGCAGGGCTCGGGCGTGGAGACCCGTTGACCGGGAAGAAATGCGGGCATTTCTTGGACTCTTGTTGGCCATGGGTGTCGTCAGGAAGCCAACCATCGCTTCCTACTGGAATGAGGGGGACAAGAACTGGCTGGCATCAACACCTTCCTTCGGGGGGATTATGCCGAGGAATCGCTTCCAAGTCATCATGCGGTTCCTCCACTGCAACGACAACTCCCACAAGATCAGGCCGGTTCTTGATCTTGTGAATGGATCATTCGCAAACTCTCATGGGTATGTTACCTTTTTACTTTCTCCATTCTGATATATCATATAAAAAGTATTTGAATACCATTCATTATGGCACTTATTTCATGTTGTACTGATGTGAGGTTCTGATGAATTAATCACGGTAAATGACAATATGAAAATTACATATACCAAAAGTTATGGATTTGTTACATGTAAAAAAAATTTGAAAACTTCTTAAGTAAAAAATAAGATATAAGGATCTATACCAAAACGTCATCTTGACAGTAAATAAATAAGTTGTTATCCATAAATTGTGTCTATTTAGTCATCTATCAACTTCTAAGTACTGCATATCACACAATTTCTTTTTTCAGGCTGGCCCAGAGTGTTTGCGTTGATGAAAGGATGGTTGGCTTCAAAGGGCGACATCACCTTGTACAATACATGGCCAACAAGAAAGCACACAGATTGGGGGTGAAGTTGTGGATCCTTGCCGAGGCGGGTACTGGCTACACCCATCAAGTTCGTATCTACAAGGGCCGGAACCTTGGAGGACCACCGCCCAAGGAAGCTCTTGGGCATAGTGTGGTCATGGACTTGATGGAACCGCATCTCGACAAGGGCCACCACATCATCTGCGACAACTACTTCAGCAGTCCGTCTCTCTGCCATGCTCTATTTGACAGGGGGACATTCTGCACAGGAGTTGTCGCCGTCCGAAGAAAGGGAGTGCCGAGCTCTTTCGTTGGGAAAAGACCAACTAGGGGTTCGACAATTGTGAGAAGACAGGGTCCACTGCTGGCAGTGCTCTTTTCAGACAGGAAGGTCTTCACAATCCTTTCTACCATGGGTAGTCCAAGGTAAATTCAAAATATTAAATATACTGCTCAATATCCTGTTCATTGTTCAGCAGCGTTAGAAACTAACAGTTTCAGTCCACTAGTCACATACTAATAACATAGAGCAAAACCCTTAAACTTTGTTAAAGAAGGCACATTTCTAATAGTCCTTATAGGACTAGTGCCAATTTATAATGCTGTTAATTCAGTATGATTCCTACTCCAAGTGTCCATTTTCTTTCATACATGTTCGCTTTGATGAGTGTCAATTACTTTAAATTTCTCATAAAGATGAAAAGAATATAGAGATTTTGTGCATGTGTCTGAAAAAATTAATATATTAATTAATATTTTATTTACAGAATGGAGGATGGGCTTAACTCACGGGGCCGGTCTGTCACTCTCCCCTCAGTCGTTAGACTGTACAACACCCTAATGGGGGGAGTTGACCTTGGGGATCAACTCATTGGTGTCTATGATCCCCAAGTCCGCTCCGTGAAGCTGTGGAAGAAAGTTTTAATCAACTTTCTTCTCACAGCATCAAGTAAGAATTATTTTATTTATATGGAATTCAGAATAAAATAATTTGGTATCAAGGAATTTAGGAATAACTTATAATTCTAGACCTATGTCATTACTACCAACTATACGGTCATTATCCTGATAATATCAACCAATATGTAACAAATGGCATGAACTGAATACAATAACAGAATAATTTCGCATCTGGTACCACTTCCACTGTATTTTCATTGTACTGATTAATCAACGTGAACCTTGTCTTCTGAACAGCTATTTCATAATGTTTGATTTTAATGTTTCATTCTCATTTCATTTCAGTTAATGCCTATCAGACATTCTTGAACACCCATGGTAGAACGACCTCCCGTCTGGACTTCCACATGTCCCTTCTCCACTCACTCGTCGGGAACACTCAGGTGAAGAGGAGGACTGGCAGGCCCAGGACCCAGCCTCCTTCCCGACGACTGACTGGACGTCACTTCATAGAAGTGCTGCCTGAAGGGAAGAGGAAACAGTGTGTTCTCTGCAGAAAGAGACAGAGGGCCATCGATGGCTCTGCAGGAAAGGTCAGGACCTGGTGTCCTGACTGCCACGTTGGCCTCTGTGCACGCTGTTTCCGTCAGTATCACACAGCTGATCACATTGAAGAGTGAAAGGCTGTGTGTACTGGCATATGATGGAACATGACTCATGTTCCATCATATCAACCCTTCAAGCAGTTTCCCCATCTGTGTGCTTCATTGTGAATAACTAGTGAGTGAGTAGGACTTACGCCGCACTTGCAATATTCCAGCAACATCGCAGCGAATCTTTGTAAATAGATGATAAATATATTGTATATATGTACTTATTGAAAATGTTTCATATGTGTGTATATATATTAAAGGATGTTTTTGTGAGAGAGTATGACATAACGCCGTATTTGCAATATAACAGCAAGATCATGGCGATTCATTGTAAATAGATCATTGTCTATTGAATATGATTATGTACTTATTGTAAAGAAGTGAGTTTGTTTTATGCCTCTTTTAGCAATATTCTTGCAAGAATATGGCAGTTTAATGTACTTATGTTCATATTATGTTCTCCATTTATTGTACATGTAATTATTGTGTGTATGTAAGGATCTGTTTATGAGTAGGACTTCCCACTGCATCTGCAATATTCCAGCAACATTGCAGCGAATCTTTGTAAATAGATGATAAATATATTGTATATATGTACTTATTGTAAATATTTCATGTGTGTATATGTATTAAAGGATGTTTTTGTGAGAGAGTATGACCTAACGCCGTATTTGCAATATAACAGCAACATCATGGCGATTCATTGTAAATAGATCATTGTCTATTGTATTTATTATGTACTTATTGTAAATGAAGTGAGTTTGTTTTATGCCTCTTTTAGCAATATTCCTGCAAGAATATGGCAGTTTAATGTACTTATGTTCATATTATGTTCTCTATTTATTGTACATGTAATTATTGTGTGTATGTAAGGATCTGTTTATGAGTAGGACTTCCCACTGCATCTGCAATATTCAAGCAACAATGCAGCGAATTTTTGTAAATAGATTGTATATATTGAATATTGGTACTTACTGTAAATACTCTATTTGTATATTTCAGGATATATCTATGAGAGTATGACTCCATGCTGTATGTGCAATATAGCAGCAACATCACAGCGATTCATTGTAAATAGATTAAATTATATTAATGATATATATATATATATATACTTACTGAAAATAGAAAATGGATTTGTGTATATATTAAAGGACATGTTGGTGCGTGAGTATGATTCAACGCCACATTTGCAATATTCCAGTTAATTCATGGCGATTCATTGTATATGGATTATCTTTTGTTCACAATTATGTACTTCATGTAAATAGAGTGAGTATGATTAATGCCGCTTTCAGCAGTATTCCAGCAAAGATGCGGCAATTTTTTTTAACTTTATTGTACTTAGTTTATATATTATTCACATGTAAATACTGTCAAATAAATATGTATATATTGAGAGATTTGTACATTTGTCTTATATATCTCATTTAAACGGTTACAAGATTTGTTACTGATGATACTTTTCAAAATATTAAATAAAGGACAGTAAGTATAACAGTAAGGACCTTGGAATAAGAAATAATTTTCTAAGTCTTTCCAATTACAGCCATAAGAAAGTGGCTTATGAAAGTGTTGTTGTCCCTCTGGAATATTAACAAAATATTCAAAAATGTTCACAGATTATGTAAGCATACTTTTTAAGTATTAATTGATATTTTTAAATCGATTCTCCAATGGTATCGTAACCAATGACTTACATACATCTACACAACTAAAGAAACTTTTTACTTCTAGTCCTTATTATGATAAACCCTTAAAAATTGAAAATTTCTTCTTGTCCGTATTATACCTTAACTATTGGTCAGTTTGGCAAGGACTATTTGACAAGTGCCACGTCTTTGCCGTAACGTATTCTGATAAATTTCGCTCAACTGCCATAATGTAATCCATAAATTTTAGCGGTAAATGCCACGAGCAAGCGCGGACGTGAGAGAAGACAGCAAGCCGTGAACGTATTTGTTACGGCTTGCGCTAATCTGAAATGATGTTCGTTTTTTTCGGGCGGGTAACCTGTGCCTTTTTTTTACAAATTCTTCATAGATTACCTTTTTTTCAAATTCGTCAAACATTACCAGTTATACATAGATCTAGTTTGATTTGTATTAAATGTCCGTTGAAATATACTTCGGATAAAGGTATTCATAACAGCTAGTCTACCACATCGCCATGGAAATCATTCGTTAAAAAGTTCCCGAAAGAAAGATTAATTATCGAGATCAACTTTTATTATACTTTGAACATTTCATGACAAAAATCACATATACATCCAACTGACTGTAAAAATGTTGGCTAATACAGTTCCTTTTGGTTTGTGATCAGTGGATCCATGTCTTTAATACTGCTTGATGGCCGCTGATGTAAGCAGGGACGGAGAGGGAAATCGGGAAAATATGACCAGATCGCAACGTTTGAATATTTGATGAATCAATGCGTTTATCATCTCCAAATTACGACAGATTGCAGACCATCACTAGAACACTAAGCTATGCTTACAGAATGATGTTCAAATATACTTACTATCTCGGTTGCTGTCAAAGATGTTATAGTAAATCCAAAATCCCAAACACCGCTGAACACGGTCGACGACATTTTGAAATATTCAAAACTAAAGCTGTCGACAACACAAAAGGCATTTTCGTATTGTTTTTGCTTCATGTGATTTTTTTAAAATTGTTTTGTGTTTGTATAATCGTTATTGGTTAAAAATGAAAATAAAACAACGTTATTAAGGATTCATAAAGATACGAGACTAACTCGTTCAATCGTCTGTATGCAAATTTCGTCGACGTGCAAATGGACATGTCCGCCATCGTCCGGTAGGAGTATTTTCAGTGAACCGATTTACATGAGCCGTGAGGAATATCTTTCGGTGCAAGATAAGTAAAAATATGCCATGCATAAGGGCATGTTCTTTGCAGATTACATAGTATGATTTTCTTGACTAAAAAAATGAATAATGGCCGAAAAGAAAAAATCATTTATTGCAAATGAAGAAAATACAACACCGCGTATAAGTTTTATTTTGAAATGCGGTTTCGTTCTCTTCTTTCTTAAAGTACGTAATTTTTAATTCCATAGTTAAAGTTACACATTAAAATTTATATCAGCATGTAGGTAATAAACCACAGATTATAGGGATAAGATTTTATTCCTAAATCATAAATAGTTTTTTCATGAATATGCATTTTCCGACATGATATGCAAACGATAACGTTACAATTTCACTAATTTACGGACTAAATGGCGTCACACATATTTGAACAAATTCGTAATCGACGATTTCGCGGACGATTTTCCACGGAGATGTTTTATTTTCAACACGGTAATCGAGAAACAAACGGGCTTTCGCAAAATGTTTTTGGTTTTTACATTGGTGGAGATTTACAACCTGACAAGACGCACAAAGTATCCAGTGCGCAATGTCAACAAAACAGCCGCCATGGACATTTTGTAAAAAATCGCATATTTAATACGTTTGCCGAGCTATAAACTACTGGTAATCACGTTAATGCTTTACAATATTTACATAGACAGTTAGGGAAATGGTTGTACTGTTATAGTGTGAAATTTGAAAATTGTGGGTTTTACCGTTGTTAAGTTACGTCGTTTTTAGACGAAGGTGTGCAGTTTCCAGAACGTCACTCGCAAAAAAAACTCGGCACAGCGATAGTACACAGGCTATTTTTAGGTGGCAGCCAGAGGGTTAACGCCGCACTCAGCAATATTCCAGCTATATGACGGCGGTCTGTAAATAATTGAGTCTGGACCAGACAATCCAGTGACTGATATCATGAGCATCGATCCATGGAATTGGGATACGATGACATGCATCAAACTAAGTCAGCGAGCCTGACCACCCGATCCCGTCAGTTGCCTCTTACGACAAGTATGGATTGCTGAAGACCTGTCCTACCCCGGATATTCACGGGTCCAGATCTTAATAGAGGGTTTGTCAAACACGCGGTTGTTCATGTGCAGTCGATCGAATTTCCCGACAGATGTATCTATCCACACAAAGTTAATCTGTACATAGCTGTTTACAAAATTGTCGCGTTGACATAAACATCACACAAACTCGTTGAACGGTCGCAATTTAGTGAGTGAGTTAACATTAAGCGTCACTCCTGAAATATTTCAGCCATATCGTGTTGAGACGAAACTGGACATTAATAATATATAAAATTCCATCATCGAAGGACAATATGATAACTCGAATATCACAGATTTACGTACAAATAGTTTGAAATATAGAGATAAATTACAATTCAACAACATAATATAACAACATCAATAGATCGCCACCATTTGAAGGTACATCACAACGCTAGGCACGCGCACATATTAAGTAACTTATATGGATAATATAACATAGGATGACTAACTTTCCAATGGACTAATTCTACAACTGAAGTTTTGGTTGTTGGTTGTTTGGTTTGTTGTTTCACTCAGCAATATTCCAGCTATATATGACGGCGGTCTGTAAATAATCGAGTCTGGACCAGACAATCCAGTGATGGATATCATGAGCATCGATCCACGCAATTGGGATCGATGATATGCATCAACCAAGTCAGTGAGTCTGACCACCCGATCCCGTTAGTCGCCTTTTACGACAAGCATAGTCTTTTACGGCAAGCATGGGTTGTTGAAAACCTATCCTACCTTGGGAATCTTCACGGGTCATCAACAACTGAAGCAATCAACTCATTAAAGTGAAAATGGTATTGACACTGATAACAATAAACAATACAAATAAAAACAAAGGGTATTTTTTAACTATTTGTTTGTTTGCTTGACGCCGCACTCATCATCTTCCAGTTATAAGATGACGGTCTATATAAATAATCGAGTATGGATCAGACAATCCAGTGACTGAAATCATGTGAGTGAGTGAGTTAATATTTGAATTCACATCGGCGATATTTCAGCCATATCGTGACTTGAACAAGTTATACGTTTATAGCCTACAAAAAAAAAATTTCGACGAAAGACAGTACAACAATTAGCAATATATCACAGATGATAATTTTAAAACTAGCTTCACAACAAGAAAATTATCAGATTATGACGGACGACACAATATAAAAACAGGCTAGAGATCGCCAACAACTAAAG